TGATTTCTGGATGGCCGTCGTGTTTTCAGTTCCTCTTCTCCCTGCATATGGAATTATGTTCTCAATAACTATACAATTATAATTTTTGCAGTGTCAGTGTATTCGGTGTATCAGCGGAATCAATGCAATGCTCTTACGACACAAGAGGCAATAGTGTCCCAACTATTCTCTTATTAATGCAAGAAACATTATACATGCAAAGTGGTCTAAAGGTATGACGAAATTTTAGTATTTTGGTTTTTTCGCTGTCGAATAATATTTGAAATAATGTTGAGGAGGAGGCCTGTGATTGAAATTTTTTGGAATGGATTTTTTATAGGCAGAAGGTATTTTTCGGATAAATCCAGAGAATAGTCAAGAGGAGCATGTTAGGGACCAACTCAACAGAGGAATTGTGCCTGACAACATTGATGTCCATATTTTGGCTGGTCTGATCAAAGCCTGGTTCCGAGAACTCCCGTCTGGTGTACTTGATGGGCTTTCTCCAGAACAAGTGTTACAGTGCAATACGGAAGAGGAATCTGTTGAGCTCGTAAAACAACTGAAACCGACTGAGAGTGCATTGCTCAACTGGGCTATTGATCTCATGGCTGATGTAGTCGAACAAGAGGAATCCAACAAAATGAATGCTAGAAATATTGCCATGGTTTTTGCCCCGAATATGACTCAGGTAAATCAGCAAACCCAATCGAAACTTCTTTCCAAATCTTTATGGCTTTTGGGGAAAGGTGGACGCTAGAGTAATGGACAATACTAAAGAAGAATAAGAACATTAGTTTCATTATCGAATTGTGGCATTCTATATTTGTTGTTTGATCCAGATGTCAGATCCATTGACGGCTCTTATGCACGCGGTTCAAGTAATGAACTTATTAAAGACGTTGATCATGAAAACCTTGCGAGAACGTGAAGAGGCAGAAGCAGGAAGAGACTCGCTGATGTCATCACGTTCCTCCAATGGGCGAACGGACGAGGAATATGAAAGCCAACAAGAGATGGATACTAGCTGTGAATCAACCGGGCCTGCATCTGATAATGACGATGAACAACCCCATTACAGCACCAGTAGCGAAGACAGAGACGAAGTTGGATCACTGAGCGAAATAGAAGAATGCTTCTTTAGGCAATTGGACGAGAACGAAAACGCAAAAAAGGGCTTTCGGAAACAGCTAGAGGGAATTTTGTGTAGAGAGCAAGTCAGTCCCGGAGGTGGTTCTACATCCAGTGAGGAATATCGTGTTCCATTATCTGACAGGACAGCTAGTTCCTGCGTGAGCATGGACGAGGGAGAAGACTTGAGAGCAACGAATGCACGGTTAATATCTGCAGCCATTGAAGATGTGGATATGTTAGACAATGTGGTAGAATCTCCGGTTCCCCCTGAGCAGTTGTGTGTTCCCAATTAACTTGTTTGGCACAAACTGCTTTCAGTTTCTTATGACATGACTAGACAATATTTGACACTATTAAAGAACCAAACACCTCAAATATGCCGGAGGTGTATCGAAGTTCCTGAATTTCTCTCGTAGGTGCTTGTTTCTGTAAATTATTGAGGTAACTGTTAGGCTTTTTTTTTTTCTTTTAAGGAAAAACAGAGAGAGTGGTTTGCTTGTGGTGATTGTAACACACGGTTCAGTTTAGGGCTGAATTTTGTGCTTGTTTCTTTGCTTTACCAGCAAAGAATTTCTCATTTTTATTAATTTATTTTGGCACGAGGAAAAAAGTAGTTCACGATGATTTCTCTGCAGAATGTAAAATTGTTTTCAAGTTAGGTAAAATACCACTGTGACATCCAATATTCTGAGTTAGACAAATTTACCTATAAAAACACTACAAAAAAATAAGAACAAGTTAGAATATTTCATCGATCAAATAAAGATTTCAAGATCCCAAACAAGCTTCCCAGAAAAGTTTGTCCCTATCTCCCTGATTCAATAGCTTAATATTTGGAGCCTCACAAGTTTTCAATTTCTTGGATTTCTTAGGCACCGCCACTGAGAAACTGGCCCGGGTGGTAGGCAGTGCCGCCTCATCGCCATTACATTCTTGATCAACAACTCCGGTGGTACTACAGCTGTCATCCTCCTCCATTTCCTCTCCTCGACTATGATAGTCATCACCAATTTTCAGTTTCTTTCGTTGCTGGTGTACCACTGTGCAACCCTTGGAAGCATTAGACGGCGCCACCTTATCGCCACCCCATTCTTCTTGATTAATATACTCATTAGTGCATGCACTGCATGACAGTGCATCGTCCTCAGCCACATCCATGGCGGCAGCCGGCACTTCACGATCAACTTCCGAATCGCCGGTCGCCTCGAAAAGTATGAAGGAAGATACATCAAAAACTGCTTTCCTACTCATTTTTATTAACAAAAGAACTAGATTTATTTGAAGAATTCTAATCCCACAAAAAATACAGTCGTACAAAATACACTTTCACACACGCACATACATATATATATATATATATAGATGTTTTTAAAAATAGTTGAGGTGGCTGTCTTCTTTGACCGTATCATCTGGAATCTCTTGATCCACGATTTCTTTGCCGCAAGTTCCATTCATTGATAAACGTTTTAAACGTAATAATTATACGTAAAGCCCCACTCATTTTTTCAAAACCCGCTTTCAATCACGCATTCCCACTTACGTAACCATATATTTTTCAAAAATAGTGAAACTGAGGTTCAAACTTGGGGTAAAATATATCTATACGAGTAATACTATTTACGGCAGTACGAGATTCAATTTATGTTGAAGGTGCATTTTGAAATAGTGATTTAACGAAGAATTGTGTTTAAAAACTAAGAAAAAGTTTTAAATTTACGTGTAATATTATTTTATTGAATATTATGTTGTTTAAATAAGAGAAAAAATGTATTTTGAAAATAATGAAGACCAAACAAGATCTTAATATTTAGCTCATTTTAGTTTTAAAAAATCATAAAAAATTAAGTCAATAATTAATTTTAACAACATATTTCATTTTGGCCCCGTTTGGTACCCATTTTTTTCAAAATGTATTTTTCTCTATTTTTTTTTCAACCACACACACACTTTATTAAAATAATATTATACGAGAATCAAAAATTTTTCCTTATTTTTCAACCACACATTTCCCATCAATTTACTATTCAAAAATATATTTCTACATAAAAATATCTCACAAACACCCCTTTTATGTGTCCTATTCCTCGTCACCATTCATCGAGTGAAGTATTTCTCCGACTTCTACTCACTTTCAAACTTGCTAATTGAAAGGAATTTTGTAAATCTGTGGGCGTACCCTAAATGTAGGAAGTCCTTTGCTTCATCATAATTGAATGCATTCGATCATCTTCTGTTGACTTGGTGTAGAAAAAACTTCAGATATATTCCCCTCATCATCAAATCTACGATACCATTTTCCACGCACCGAATTTCTATTTCTTATCGATAGGATTATGTTAATCTTTGACCATTTATTCGAGACGCGCCTCTCCTTCTAGAAGAACAGCAAACGTGATCGCATTACATTCTCGGACGTCGTCTTCTGGGGAAAAATTGGGACACGATATTACGTGTCAAAACATCAAATGCAACATAATTGGCATTTAGGATTTCTTTTCTATTTTATTATTTTTATTTTCTTGATTTAGTACTTTACGCAAATGGGATGTCCCATTCGGGGCTTAGACTTATAATTAAGTTGGCCATAAGATTGCATGATTATCCTTACTACGAACTAATTTATTTCAAAATATTAATTTCACTTTTGCTTCTTCAATTTTATTTTTTGTAGTTACTTGTGTTTAAACAATTTCCATGTGAAAGAATCAAGATGCATTGAGAAAATTCAAGAAGTATCTGATTTATACATAGGGTGACACTTGAGAGTTCCCAACTCGCATTTCTTAACATTTGAAAAATGTTGTTTCCAACTCACTGAAATTTAAAATATTGAGTTTTGGTCATCGAACTTTGAAAAATAGTGTACATTACTCGCTGAACTTTGAAAAATGCTGTACATTACTCGCTATAAACTCGATATTTTTCAAAATTCAATAATTATGCCAATGAATAACGTACGGCATATTTCAAAGTTTAGTGACAAAAACTCGACATTTTAAACTTCAGCGAATAATTTAATATACGAACCTAGGTTCAGTGAGCAATCGAAGACATTAACCTAAATTCGATAATCAAAATTCCACATTTTAAGTTTCAGTAACCGATCAAAGACATGAAGATAAGTTTAGTGACCATTGAAACAATTAATTTTTATCCAAGAAATTGCTGCTAAGTATCATCTGTATTAATTTTGGTAACCATTTTCTGTACATATAACAAAGTTTTTTATTTTTATATGTTTGTTCTCCCTCGTTTCCGTCTCTAGAAATTGTGGTTGAGATAGGATTAGACAAGATGGGGATGATAATTAAGATCTATCTTTTGTATCTCTTTCCTTTTAGGGTCCATTTGATTGGAGTGAATTTCATGAAAAATGTCACATTCAGAAAATTCATTTTCTACTTTGGCTATTTAATACGAAAGTAAAAATGAAGTTCGAGTTTCAAGGTACAAACACTTAAAACATGTTTTTGGCCAATTTCATGGAAAATGCATTCCCATGAATTTGGTGATTTTTTTCTTTTTCAATTTACATGAAATTAGGTTTTTTTCTTTTTTTTTTTTTTTTTTTTTTTGGACTTTTTTTAAAAAAAGGGCCCCCCTTTTTTTTGGAACCTTTATAATCAAACGGACCCAGCATTCCTTTTCTTTTTACCTTGTACTCATTAATTTGTTGAAAATTTTGAAAACTCAATACGCATGTCGAATGCGATGAGGGATTCAATAGTATCTTAGTGAGCAGAAGATCACAATTATGGAACGAACACAACCATTTCTAGAGAAGTCACACAGAAAAGGTTCAGTTTGGAGACCTAATTAAGAAATACCTTCTGATTTTTCGAATTTAAAAAAAATAAAAACAAGTTTGGCCCTCAAAGAAGTTGCAGTAGTTAAAATTTAATTTTCAAATATTATTTATTTGTGGCCAGGCCAAAACCCGATGCCAGAAATTTTCACTTCTCCAAATGTGAAAACCATACATTTCAGAAGAAACATCATAAACGGCACCAAATCCGTTCCGTGATAGCAAATTAAAACTAATGAGCAGTACAAATTAGGGCAACCGCAAAATCTTCGGAGGGTAAACAATTTGCAGGCTAATATAGAGTAGATAAAGGCATACGTATGTCTACAAATTCAGTGGTGGTTGGGATTTGACTTTGATGCAATCTGGTAAAGGAGGTAACCGGAGCACAGCTTCCTCCGTCACAATCGGGTCCGACCTCAAAATCTACAAATCCATACTTAATATTACACACACACACAATAGAGAGAGAGAGAGAGAGAGAGAGAGAGAGAGAGAGAGGAGATCTTACTGGATCTTGGAGGAGTGGTTTGGTGTCATCTTTAGCTGGTCTGAAAAGGGGTTTCTTGTGTTCTCTCTTCATTTCAGATTCTCCATTGTTAACCTCCGATGATTTCATTTTCGATTCTTTTTGCTCTCTGCCTGCCCGATCGCCGCCTTCCCTTTGTAGAAATTTTCACTTCTCCAAATGTGAAAACAATACATTTCAGAAGAAACATCATAAACGGCAACGAATCCGTTCCGTGATAGCAAATTAAAACTAATGAGCAGTACAAATTAGGGCAACCGCAAAATCATCGGAGGGTAAACAATTTGCAGCCTAATATAGAGTAGATAAAGGCATACATATGTCTACAAATTCAGTGGTGGTTGGGATTTGACTTTGATGCAATCTGGTAAAGGAGGTAACCGGAGCACAGCTTCCTCCGTCACAATCGGGTCCGACCTCAAAATCTACAAATCCATACTTAATATTACACACACACAAAATAGAGAGAGAGAGAGAGAGAGAGGAGATCTTACTGGATCTTGGAGGAGTGGTTTGGTGTCATCTTTAGCTGGTCTGAAAAGGGGTTTCTTGTGTTCTCTCTTCATTTCAGATTCTCCATTGTTAACCTCCGATGATTTCATTTTCGATTCTTTTTGCTCTCTGCCTGCCCGATCGCCGCCTTCCCTTTGTTCTACAAGTTTTTCAAAATTGAAATGTACAGCAAATACGCGATTCTCCCTTAAAGTGATTTTTCAAAAATAATGGACGATAAAATAGGAAAAAGTCATGAATCTATAAGCAAAATTATTTTATTAAAAAAAATACATAATTGATAAGTTTACCAAGTGGAACCTAATATCTTTTTTAATTTGAGGTGATTAGCATGTTTGGATAAGCTCAAGCTTACTAGAAAAAGCTAATACGGACTAAAATGTACTTCTAAACGCACGCTCTAAGCTGGTGGAGTGTAGATTATTAGTGTCTTTTCAATAGTGATTATGAGAATTGATTTTCTAATCGTTAGAAAGAAAAATAGATCTCACATATAAGAAAATAAGTCAAAAATGATGGCTGATTTATGAAAATAACGATAAAAAATTAACTTTTTGAGGGTGAAAAATCATAACCAATCATGCTGTAAATTTTATATTACCAAGAGTAGAAGCCAAGCTTTTTTACTTTAATTCAAGATTCAAATCAATAACCGTGAACATTTTAAAAATCAGTTGTATATCATATTATCAAAATGAACTCTAGAAATATAGAAAAGGTTTTGCACTCTTTTTTCTTCTTCTCCTTTTTTTTTATTTTTTATTTTTTATTTTTTATTTTCCTTTTAATAATATCTATTTTTTTTCATTTTCCTTTTAATAATATCTATTACTGCGTATCAACATATTTGATATCAACATATTTGATATGTTAAAATATGACCTTATGAATAAGTGTTTTCAATAATCTCATATTAAAATTAAAATTTTAAGAGAGGATACTTTTATTTATTAACAAGCCTCTTCACATGCACGTTAATTAGACTTGGAGCACGTCAAACAACCTCGTTGAAAGATAACACATTCATTTTTTTATATTTTTGATAAATTACTTAGTGTCTTTTTGATACCTATTAATTTATTGTATAATTTACTGCTGAATCAATTTTAAATACAAATTCACATAATAAAATAGTATCCCTACTTTTCAACCACATATTATCCTAAAAATACTATTCAAAAACCCCTCAACCCCCCCCCCCCAGCCCCC